TGCCGCGCCGCCATTCGTCTTGCTAAATCTCTAATCCACGCGTCTGCCTTCTAAATGTTATGCGAGATTAGACAAATTGCTTCGCTTCTATTTAATTTCTACCCGATCCGGGTCGAAAGTAACAAGATGACGATCAATGGATTAAACTTGAGGGCAGGAAAATGTCGAGTATAGCAGCTGGATCGTTAATGTCACCACTTTTGACTTTCGATCGATATCTCCCATTTCTACGCAAGTTTTCTGAGGATAAATACAACCCTCCCTGCCTTCTCTCTGCTAAAATCATTGGTGATTCAAAAACGAGACTTACAAAAGTAATGACTGTAATTTACCTTGAGCTTACGCTGTAGACCATTTTGAATGGGTCTCGGTTCATGCAACTTGGATAGACAGAAAGAGCCGCCAACTCCAGCAGCTCGTCATGCGCATTAGTAGATGACGATTGGATTGGAGTTCGCACCGAAAGATCACCAACCCTCATTTGGTAGCTGCGCAATAAAAATTCCCCGTAGTCTTGGGTTCGAATTATTGGGTGCAGCTGAATTCTGTCTTCGCAACTCACTTTCGGTCTAGTTACCTCTTCATGCACCTGCCCAAGTCAAGTAAAAGGCTTTCCCCGGTTGTGCTGCTGTCTAGATAATTTTCGGCACATATTACTTTCAAGCTTTTAGTTCACGCAGCTCTGAATTTGAAACAGAAATTTGGTGGTCGGGGGAGTGTGAACATGAAAAGCCGTCCACACTCTGGTGAAACCGCAGCAAAGATGTGCCTTGATCCCCGGCCGAAATTGATAGATGGTTTGTCTGGGTGTGACACCAGACCGATAACGACATCTTCGCGAGCACAGGGTACAGGCTTGTTAGGGCAGCCAGATTGTTGACGTCAAATGGGTGCGCCACGACGGCTGGCATTGCCTCAAAACCTCTCGGACCAAATGCTGGTGAGGCCCTGCTCTCGATAACCATTAATGATGACCCTCTCAAAGTTGTGACGGCTCTCCGAGTGGCGGTGGTCATTGTTTTGATTCAAACAACGGCTTGGCCAGCCAGTGCGAAGTCCGACTAAGGTGGGATGCGTTACGTGTGCGGTGAAGGTGGGGCGAGGCACAGGAGAGCGACTAGTCTAATTTTGTCGGAGGATACCAAAAATAACCGGTAGGAAAGTGAGCGGCCACTAAGAACACCTAAGGCTGGCATCGACAGGAATGAGATTACCAGCTAATCACTCACTTTCTTCAAGAGGCGGTAGCAATCGTCATCCAATGAGCAAGGAAGAGCCAGCCTTTAGTCGCTAGATAGCCGTCATTAATCGACAGATGGTCGAGTTGCAATGGATCCAGCAGTGATAAAGTGTGGGTTCATAGAGGGGCGAGCCATGTGATTTCTCAGTCTGTGTGTCGAGCTGGGGGCGGTAAGACAGGGACTATTGTTTACCGAGACTAAGCGCTCCGACGTCAACTCCAAACTGGAGTCCCGTGACGGTATTGAGATGTGTAGGCAGTGCTCATCACGGTTCCGGGGCCGCTCTGTTATTCAAAATTGGTCGTGACCTGAGAAACTGATCGCTCAATGCGAGTAAATAATGCACGTGTCTCTTTGACTAACAAGACATCAGCAGTCGCCATTGCGACCTCGACTGTGAGAGCAGAGAGCAAAAGTGATGCGCATTACACGCACCAGGGCGGGGCCAGAGCAGATCAAACAAAAAATCGACCGTTACTGGATGACTGCCAGCCCCCTGAGCATAGCTCAAGCTAGGTGAAGCAAGCAAAGTTTATCCTTTATCCTCCAACGTTAATTCCATGGACAGGCTTTCGAAAACATCTGACCGTCTTATCCCTAAGGGCAATTGATTCCGGGTCCCGGGGCCTGGAATCAGAGCTCCTACCCTGCTTCACGACATCAGCGAAACCAAACAACTATCTTATGGCAAGACCCTTTCATTACAGCTAACCCCTGCATTCAGTTCATCTTCCACCGCCATGTCTGTCCAATCATGCCAATAGTGCTAGGAAGGGCACACATGGAAAGACTGCTAGTACAGCCAGCCAGCCTGGGCAAGTCCCAGGCGTTTTTTGTGGCATCCGGCCATCAAGTTAGTCGATCAACTCTCTTTTTGCCTGCTGCGTCAAGGTGGCATTACTCCATAGCTAGGGCCTTTTCTGCTCACTCTAGATTGATCGATGTAGGTTGTTTGCACGTTACGATATATCAACCAGCGGGGTTTGCCGATGACTTCATGACAAGTCCTCTGGACGTGTTGATGCCATGAGATAGGGGTATAATGTAATAAGATAGTATAGTGGTATTTTGTCTGGGCCATTCATGGAGAGACTGAGACCTTTCTTTACCTGTTCCTCGCAAAATGGCAGACTGTATGTCGAAAATAAGTTCATTGCCTTTGCAGTGGACGACATGGACGCACGCTGAATGGCAGAGATTGGCTTCGAGTACCAAAGCTTTACAAGCTTTTCGGTGAAAGGTACTCTAAGACTGGGATTTTGAGTGAGTGTAAATATCCTCACTTGGTGCCGAAGATTGTGGAAAAGGTGAAATGCTGAACTCCGTTCAGCGTCGTAAGTGGTATCATCATTCGATGTCGATGCTAAAAAGTAGCCTGGTACTTTGACTGTTGGTTACACAGATAAAGGCGAAGATATTATGATGCGGGGTCGTATTGGAGACAAAAAGAGTTCTGACTTATGTTAATTTACATCAGCACCGTTTGGGCAGGCTAGCACCAGTTTTTTCCAACTCGATCCATGGCAAGAGATTCGAGGCTGCTTTGCGCGCCGCTATCCCCTTTTGCGACTATCACCTTGGTCATTTTCTTTTGTGGCCGGGGCTCTCTAGCCCGATGAATATCAGACTTCTCCTCAGACCCTGCCACACTCTATCGACACCGCCTAGTAAAGCTAGCCCCTCCCCAATGATAGCAGAGGCCCTAGGCTTTGGTCTGATCGATGGTCTCTGATACCCTTCTAGCGCTTCGCCGCTTGGGGATGCATCCGCCTCTTCATTCTCCCCTTGAAGATGCTTGCTCCGTTTGACAGGCACAACGACCATGGACTTCCTCCATGTTATCAACGACTTTTGGGAGAGGCAAACCTTCACCAACCGCCTCTCGTGGTGGGTTGTCACCGAGCACCGACTTGAATTGGATAGCCGGCTCACTTTTATCGTAGTTCGCAAAAATCATTGTTCATTCGTATCGATACGCTCTTCGCCACCGGATTTCCGTCGATCTAATGCCATATCTCAAGGGATAGACCCTGTAGCTTGAGTCTATCCCCGACTTCGTTTTATTACGTACTAGATCATCGTCGTTTTATGAGCCTGCCAGAGCCAGCAGGAATAATTCACCACCATTTGTATAGTGACAAGCTGCCAGTGCGTATGACACTAGTGGAGATTTAGGTCACTCGGTTGGATGCTGCAGCGCGATCATCGGCATCAGCACGTCGAGATGAGCCACGCGGCTTAGATGCCAGTTTGGGGATAGCCCCGCTATCGATGCATTGAAATGCGGTAGTATTGTGAGAGCTGCCGCACCAGTCTTTGTGATTATTCAGGGGCCCAGGAACGGGGTTGAAAGAGCTCGGAATGTTGAGGACGCGAAAGGCAAACGAAGAGTCTTGAAGAACGCTGGTCCAGGTGTCCCTTAGCCTCGTCACAGAAGGCGAGGTGGAAATCAGCGGAATTCTCGTCAGCCTCTCCCTCCTTGTTCGCGTCAGCCGTAGTGAATATTTCCCTCAATGGCACAGACTCCTCGTAGATTGACGGCTGAGGGCTGAGATGCCTGAGAGCCTGAAAATTCCAAATGGACAGATATGTTTATGATCTGCATTGCTACGATGCCCTGTCAGCCGCTGCCCGTGGTGCCGGCGGGGAGAGCTGTCCCGTTGCGACCCGCGTTGCATGAGGTGAGGTAGTCTTGGAGGACGAGGGCCCCCAGCTTCCGTTAACCCACCCTCGGGCGAATGTGAAAGCCAACACGATTCGGGACATTTGCATCTTACATGTCGAACCAAAAATTACACAGACCCTTCGAATTGGACGCTGTCGACTCGCGCGCCCCCCCTTCGAGCGTGTTATGCACTAGTGTGAGATCCAATCGTTGCCTAAACCTCCCTTCCCGCTTAACGTCCCGTTTCCGCACCTTACTATATGTAGCTCGTGCATGAGCAGAGGCCCACGTCGGCTCGAGCCCGTGAGAGGAGCAGGCAGGAAGCCGCTGCATATAGTGTGAAATTGCAGGAACACCTGAGGAACCTTGAGGTCGCATATTCTGTTAATTGACTATCAAGAATCTTCTGCGCAAAAAAACCCCATGTACATCAATGTAAGCTGCACATCGTCGTAGTACCCTGTGCTCTTTGTCAACTCCAAGTACCAAGTACTCCCTGATATCTTTCGGACCTGCTATGTATTACATATTCTTGATACAATTACTTCTCACTTATCGTGATTTATCGCGCGCTAATCGCTACATGGAGGATAGTATTGAAAATCTTCTCCGTACCTGAAAGAACAACCGGCCTTACATGCTCCATCAATATGTACTTTCTTGTAATTTCATTACCCAGATTGCTTAGTAGTATCATGAGAAACCACTCGGGAGTGCGCCGAGTAGGTAGAATGTTGAGGGATGGCGGCATTCACTTGAGATGTGACCCTGCCTTTCCTAATAGCTTTCCCGTCCGTCATATGAACAAAGTGACACTTAAACAAACCAAAACATCATCACCAATACAGGTATGCAACACTAAGATCCGTGTGCCCAAAGCCACCCCATTTCGTCCAATATTCACGCCTGAACTTCCCACTATGCAAAAACTGATAAGTATTGCGGAAACAAGAAATACAAAAACCAAAGGAAAACACCACCTCATGCGCCATGTGTAATGTAGGGTCATGAGAGTTTTAAACCTTGAGAGAATTGTTTGGAACCAGCCACACGTCTCACCCTATTTAGAGCTCGCCTTAGAAAGATTAGCTCATTCACCCCCCTCCTCCCCGGGCGAGACCAGCTGCTGGATATCTTGATGGACTCCATGTATTATTGCTGAGTGGTGGCACAAAAGCAACATGATCAATTGTTTGAAAATTTTCGGGAACTGACCATTCATTAGACAAATGAAAGTTATTAGTGACGCCGTTAGCATGGATAGGTAAGCCGTTTGGTGATTTGATGAAATTCAGAGGAGGACTTGGTTCATATGAGTACTCACGGCCTGGAACGGCACTTGGCTCACTTCTGCTGTTAATAGTTGTAGTGTGCGGATAGCCAACAAAGTTGTTCGAATCTGTGACCGAGCCTTGCGCGTACTTTGGTCGATAAGTAACATCTTCAAAGCGGGCAGGCATTCGCGTCTCCACCCGACTATCCCATGATTGAAATTCAGGAGCGGATGTGATAGGACTACTGCCGGCACTAGCTGCGCTACTCTCTGGCGGAAGGGTGACGGGAGGCGGACTAAGACTGTTATTAGATGCCGCGATACCTCCAGGGGCAAAATCAGTGCTAGCAGCTGGTGACTGTTTAGTTGGTTCAGGCGGCTGAAGTAGTAATGCTTGCATGTCTGCTACTGTAATTGGAACGCCTTGACCTTCCGTTATGATACCAGATGATTCATTCAAATCCCGTCCAAACCGATTTTTTCCAATTGCCTCGATATCTAATTCACACTGCGTTAGGAAGCCTTTCGTGATTGTGTGGTAGGCCCCGATTGATCTCATGGCAATAAGGATCTGATCAAGATTTGTCAAGCTGTGTGAGTTTGGACTTTCACTCTTGAGGTCATTGAGAAATATTCCAGCGGCTACATAAAGACAAAATCCTACCCAGGGGACCATCTAGTATAGTTAGCAAGGTACTATGACTAGGATAGTTTTCTCACCCTAGCTGAGTCTTCCTTGCGCGTTTGATTTAGAATACTAACGATCTCTTCTGCTGCCATAAATGTGCGTGCCTGACTTTGCCGCACAAAAATTGGATCGACGTTATACCGGCCTGCAGTCATTACAGCTGTCCGATGAAGTCCAATAATAGATGCTTGTATATTCATATGAATAAATATAACATTCATGTCTCGTACACCATTTGGTAGTCTGAGTGACTCAGGAAGGTAGATGAAGGTGTTATTCAGTGCATTTTCCATCCGTCGGTGACGCTTCCAGAATTCGCCGTTCTGAATATCCTCGGGATGATGGCTAGGACCTGTACCCCGGACGTGTTGGAAGAAGTGACCGAAGTATGCCGCTGTTAATAAAACACCCCCATAATTGGATAGCCGAGAAGCTCCTTCTGGTGTGAGGGCTTGGGCGAGTGTAGTAGCAGTTTCTGCTATACCTGATTCAAAAGCTTCTTCAGAAGACGGGAGATTGGTAAAAATCTGAGGAGTCAGAATTAGTTACCAAAATAGATAGAGACTAGATACCTCATGCTCTTGTATGATCATTGGCCAACCACTACCTGAGCTTGCGAATCGGTCCGAGTAGAAGGCAGCCCAAAACGTACGACGGCGCTCTTCGAGCTCTACCCAATCTTTTGGGGGTTGGAGAGTTTGTTTCGCATCTGATTCATCGTGATCAAGCCTCCATAATCCGAGCATTTGCACCATTCTGACCATACGCCCAGTGCTCATCCACGACCGAGAAAAATACATTTTTCGAGCTTCGTAATTGCAGATGAGACCCCATGTCTGCGCATGATATAGACTTACGAAGCTTTCACCGTGCCCCTAAGTTGTAAGAGAAGGTAGTTGGAAGATCAGTGGCCGACTAACCTTCATTTCTGCTAATTCCATATATTTTCGAGCGCGTTCGTAGAAAACATCTTCATAAGCTTCGTACTTTGGTGAGAGTGAGGCTGCCAACGTCCACATAGCGTACATTAGACAGGCTGGTGGTCTAGAATGAGGTGCGCGATCCAGGGACGCGTAGAAGCGAGTTCGGTGCATTATAGGCATAGTTGGATGAAAGCTGGTAAAATATATTTCGTACCTTACATCTTTAGTACGAGAGTGGTGCGAGGAGAAACTTGTTTCCTTACAATTCATTAATGGCATCTTGTGATGGTAGAGGTTCACTCAGACCTAGGCTTAACAGTTCTCTACCAAATATATTTTCTACAGTCGGTGTAGCTACCGGCGCAAAGTTGAGTCCAGGATGAATAGTGTCAAATGATCCAAGCATGCCTGCATTTGCCATGTCAATATTCATATCAATTCCCATGTGGCTCCAGTCTGCCTCGAGGGCTGTCGCACTTGTGGTTTCTGAGTTGGCATTGGATTTTGATTCAGCGACAAGTTGGGTCTCTACCTGCGCTGTTAAGAGTCAGATTCAAATCTTTCAATCGGAGGTCCAGAGAATCACCGAGTCTCGCTTCTAGTTCCTTGATATTCCTTCTCTTGGATCCCAAATTCCTCCGGCGCTCTGGATATTCGCATTCATGTCTTAACCGCGTGCATGTTCCACATTTCGGCTTCACGCGATCGCATTTTAACTTGCGCTTGCGACAAGATACACATGATATCGTTTTCTCGGGGCCCTTGTGGTTTCCCTTGCTTTGAAGTCCGGACGCATGCGGAATCTCTCCGTGACTCACGAATCCGCCAACCGGCTTTATATCTGGTAAACCTACGCCCGAGGTCGCCGACATTAATTATTGATATTGTGGGAATTGATACATGTGCTGGGTTTACAAGTTGGAGACTGTTTTTGGTGTGCAGAGTAAGGCCTATGTATTAGCAGCAGGGAACGGAGTAGACTTTAGACTTAAAGTTCCGCTCAATATACCAGATGATGATTAGCTCATCTTCATTACTTGCGCATTTGACCTTTTGTGGTATCCGTAGCGCAGTACTCGACGCTGACCCTACCAGGATTTGCAGTTATTTTGACAGGGTGAGAAAGGGTGAGTAGGAGCGTTCCCGGGAGGAGTTAGCGAGAGCCCCATGCTGACCCGAAGCCGATTCAGACCCCCCTTGAATCCTCATCCTGTGCCACTTGCAGCAATTGCTTGGTAAGATCTCCAAGACGACTTGGCGTAAGACCTCGACCACTTTAGTCGCGGGACCCATGTGCCTTAAGCGTATCTAGGAGATTTAGACTTGAGAAATGCGCTGGCGTCACTGGGCTGTCTAGTGCGTCTACCCCGGGCTCACTCCTAGTTTGGTAGAAGGCAGTCAAACATGTTGAAAAAGACGTTGCCCGCTAAAACTCGGAGCTCTAGCCTTGCCTGAGCTCGAGGCAGGTCGGAGAGATCTGCCTCTATTACTAGAGCGTCTATCTATTTCTGCAAAATTGCATTTCTCTTGCCACCTCCCTAGGTTCCACTTCCGATCCGACATGGCCTTCTCTACAGCGGTTTACGGTGACGCGATCTTCATTTCATGAAACGAAGAACCTCCTAGCTAGAACCTTCAAGCGCAAAGATCTCATCATGAAGACGGATCTCCTGAGGCTAATCTTTTCAGGTCTCCCGGACACGGCTGTTCGGTATCTACGCGCTGTTATTGTACTTCATCGATATAGGAATGCACGACGCTTAAACAGTTATGATTTCTTCATGGCGATCTATATCTCCTCGACTTATCGGAGATCTGCATGAAGATCAAAAACTACAGCTCTTACAATGTAGATCACTGGTTTTAATGAACGTCCATTCTGCAAGTCCCTCGACCTGCCCATCTCTCTGGTCCTCCCCACCAACGTCTCGTATTCTCAGTCAGAATAGTCGTTGAGTCATCACCCATATGCCTTTCGTCACGCCAAAAAATCTACGAGAAGGATCACATGGACTCTGTAAAGCAAGTGGTTTAGCTCCAAGAGGCTTTAAGTATGACGATCGGATACTACCTAATACATGATATGGGCCAGAGAGAAGCCCAATGTGCTAGATAGTCTATGATTCGAATAGTACAATCCATGATCAACATCGGATTGACGATTCGTCATCATCATGGCCTTTATATGATAACAAATGACAGTCTACACTAGCAAGGAAAACCGGCATTATCCTGAAGGATGAAGAATTTTCTAGATATCTTAAGAAACACTACCAAAATAAGAGCAATGACTACAAATGCAAAGCTCAAGATTAGTATTCTGGGATTCAGGAAATATAAATGATTTGTCGGGTTGCCATGTTTTTGTAAAATTTTCGGGAGGGGCAGAAGTTATTAATCGTTCCCAAAAACTAAAGACCTATGATTCAATATTAAAATAATTAAAGATAATTGGCAGTAAACCAATACAAGCGATGTAGCAGTTCAATTTTTGACCAAATTTCGTAAAAAAATCCAAAAGATTACGTGCTCTGCGACAAGTCGTGAAGCTTCCCCAGAATCGTCCAACGTATCAGAGTTATGATTTGAGTTATAGTGATACAATTACTCTAGTACTTAAAACTCCCAATTAAGCTATCAGGAAATACATGATGTCTAAGAATGATTTATATCTACACAGCGGGAACAAAGTTAAAAATAACAGCCTTGTGAGAGATGGCATTGAACAACATCAACAATTAGGATCTAGTGGTAAAAACAGTCGGAATAAGTCTATCGTAAGTTGATCCGACTGTTTTTTTTTTTGCATCAGATTTTAATTGCGTATGCAGCTATCTAGCTATGATACAATATCAAAGAAAAGCATTTGATAGATGACTCAATGTAAAGGAAGAGCACTCATGCCTCGGATTTCATTTGCAAGTACCACTGCGAAGTTATGGCGGCTTTTTCTTCACCCCAAGTCAACCCTCATCCGTGCATATCCACCCTGGGGAACGTCTCAAAAACCCTGAGTTATCCAGACATGCCTTCATCATCTTTCATGAGCCGACTGTTGCTAGTAAATAAAACAAGAACTAATAAGCCATCTCATCGTAGAATTTTAACAGCGGTGACAATATTCGGACACTCTAATTCTCTAGTTGTAGAGGGGTCTAGCTGACATTAGTCGAGTATATCGCCAGCCTATCAGTAACAGAGGTATGACAGGCCATTTCCTCCCACTCCCCGCTTGGCCCCACACACATCTCACAACAGCCAAGCTCGCTACCAGATACGTAAGGGCCCCCGCCCACCTGTATTCACAAAGGCTGAAAACAACCAAGCCGCGCCTAGTAGGAGCTGCCGGAATCATATTCCAGCGCAACAAGGGCAAATGTAAATAAACAAATTTGTCACCAATAGTGACTAGGATATCAAAGTGTGCGCATGGCAGACCCAGCGGCCATTATAGCAGAAAACACCTTGAATGAGATTCGAAGGGCTAAGTCTCTGCTCTCAACCTCGGCGTCTACCTTCGCCCTCCAATCAGTCAGTCACAGCAATCAAATCCTACTTGTGCTACACTAACCACAACCGTGAGATTTTGGCAGCAGTGCCTGGTGATCCATAGATTCATTGTATGTTGAATCACAATTTATTGCTCTAGCTAGGACCATGTAGCCGCCAAGTAATTTGGCGCGGCAATAAGCCAACGGATTAGGTCGAGTTGAAAAGTGTAAACAAGCAACTGCCGACCGGAGAGGAGAATCTGTCACATAAACATTTGGGACGATACGACATAATATTCTCTACAAGTCAGGGGTCTTACAGCCAGAGGTCAACGATTATACTACGTATAGATGTGGTCAAAGCAAAGGATATTCATATACAAGACTATCGTTGCGAAGAATTTGCCACGGCTTAGTTCGACCTCATCCCACTTGACAGGCTTATTGGCTATTGTCAGATTTCATGTCACTCCGGGCTTTCAACTCAGCTGGTGTTGTGGCAATAGGGACGAGTGACTAATTACAGACTGTCGGAGGCGTATCCTCTCAAAAATAGTAGGCTTGTTTCTAGCAACTTGAAGTGGAAATCTTCAACTGTAGATGGCATGGATGCTTGTGGCCATTCATCTCTTTCAAGAACCGATGAAATTCTTGGCTCTTACAACAAGACAGCGGTTAAGAGGATCATCGTATTTCCAGGCTGCAAAAACAGTTACCCATACAGTCTTTCCATAGATTGGTAGTCTCTGCCATGACCTGTTCCTTGCTCAACTTTGCGGACTCAACGTTAGCCTAAGACTTTTTTTACGAAAAATTTCCCCGTTAGCCAGCTTAATACACATGCTTCCTTTTTAGTGGTTGAAAGTAGCCACTGCTTTCTGCCCATCTCAGAGGCATCTGACTCGAGTATCGCGGCTTGAAGCACTTTCTTTAAATGGGCCTCCTAAGGCGCTAAGTAATAAGGGCTCGCTACAAGAATGAAATGCTACATTATGGTGGTAGATTCGGCGCTATTTATCTCAAAGGAATTCGGATTACTTGCAATGAGAACAAGCCGAGCGAGAACGGTATTGGTACGCAGCAAAGGGTAAGTGTAGACTTGACCTCGACTGGACTATATAAACGCTGCGATTCCCCGTGAAAAAAAGAGATCATTCAATGGCAAAGGCTTTAATGGATCATATATAATTTTGTCTAAAAAATCTTAGTGATTCTAAAGACAAGAATTATAGGTCTTGGTATCGAGGCCAATCTAACACATAGTCTCATCATTTCAGGAATTAGGGGGAAATATTGCCATATGATTGAAAAGATGACAATTTAAAGTTATTTTTTCGAATTCTACAGCTAGCTAGTGACTAAGGACTCTTTGAGCTAATGAATTTTGATAAGAGGGGTTTTTGAAGATATACTAACTTTATGGCCCTGCAGAGAATGGAAATTGACATGAGCTGGCAAAATTTAAAAATTAACAGAAACTCTCACCGTGATTTACTAAATTTCCATTATTACAAACGAATAAACCGTTACATTAGTGGGCCATTGCTGATCGATATCGATGACTAGTCCATCTACAGCTATGGAGAAGAGATGACATCCTGATTAGAGCATCAGCTCACTAGACTCACTCCTAGAGGATCTCAATAGAAAACTTTCAAGTGAACTCGAGTAGCTTGCTCTGATAACAAGCTCCAATCTCGACTGCTATCTCGATATGAAAATTTACCATTGTCACTCTCGTTACTAGCTTGTTGTCGAGAACCGACCAGAAAAACGTGTAGTAGCATAGACATTATCTAGAGGTCTCTAGCCGAGCTAGACATCATCGAATCTCGTGCTCTTATCAGCCATGCACCTCTTACCATGATCTTCATCTTATTAATTAAAGCCACCTTTCATATTAGCTCATAGCTATAGATGCAACGAATACGTCAAGGATGTGATAGGCGACATCGACAACGTACTCGCGGCTTACTTGTCGGCCCACAGTAATGCAGGTAACGCTGCCACCCGAAGATCTCTACCGTTAGGCCTGCTCCCTATTTTATCGTGACTATTCTATATGGTAGCATAAGTTGTAGCAAAGTAAAAGAATCACCAGAGGTGAATGGACTGAGTCATCCTAGCTAAAGGTTAACAGCCACAAACTTGGAATAGCTAATGGGTTATCGGGTAAGTCTTAAGGCCCTTTTTGTAAGTTTCAGATAAAGAAGCAAAATCCGGGAAAACGCAATACAAAAAATGAATATGATTTGGATCGGTGGACTGAAAAACTAACCACCTGCCTGGCTGACTTGATCGGATTTCTTAGGCCCCTGTCATATAAAGAGAGCCACGCGGGACACTGCACCATGCCATAACCGATTGAGACTCGTAAAGCTGCCAAGCTAAAACATACCGTGAATCTCCTCGTGAAATCTCAAGTTAAATTGAGCCCATATTGCTTCTAGCCACATCAGCATAAATGCCTTAGATCTGTAGTAGTATTCATGACTACAAGGATACTTTACAATACCTATTCAGATTTTCAAAACTCAAAAGTTCTCCTTTGGACACATTCATACACTCATCGATTTGTAATGTCAACGAGCGGACGTGACGACTAGTCGGGGGATAAAGATAGCTATAGAATCTCTTTTATCATTAATATGATTCACCTAAACTGTGATATATCTCATTGACCCAAGAATTCATTGAAATCAAAAGTACATATGTATACTTTCGATGGAACCAAAATAGCTACTAATCTAATTACTTCACGAAGAGGCCGCTAGAATATTTGGCTCCAGAGCAATAAAACAATTAGTTACATAAGCTAAATATTTTCTCCTTCCTTAAAATTTTTTTTTTTCACAAAATTAACCCCAGTTATCTCTCCATGAGAATATATGATGAGAATTAGACATAGATTTATGGTTAGGAGCGGCAATTATAAGCAGAATAGTATCTATGTCGTATATGAACAATTGGTCACTGACTAGCAGCCCATGCAATTTTGACATGTGAGAATCTTTTTAGGAAGCTCTATATCTAGACTTTCTATTACCTGTCCGTATCTTTCAATAGCTCTGTTAACATTTCTATCTTGATATCGACCCGTACAAACATACCGTATAATATTAATTCATATTGATACTTAGGATTGCGATGGATAGCAGAGATTGATGGTGTTTATGGCAGTGCGGGGGTCGGTAATTAGTGACAGGGATATGACACGTGTATTTATATGTCGCGCACTTGACTCCTCTTTAATATGGTGATGCTTCCGACTATATTCACAATGCCCATACCTACTCTGGGCTAATCACCCCTTACTATTTCGGTCCTATCTTCTAATTAATGCCCTTTTCGCCATTTTATCTTAAATGACAGGTCATGATATTCTTCGTCTTGCTGGCCATCATCAAGCTTAGAGTTATGGACAGATTAAATCTTTAACAAGCTCAGAAGGCGATTTGTACCAATTTACCTGAGATAATCTAGACATTGTAGTTAGCCTTAATCCTGTATTTATTCTAGCAATGAACCGTCGAGAATAGTACCGGAGATAATAAATGTGTCTAGCCAACAGTAGTTTGGTCTAAATAAATTATTTGATATTGATAATGAAGAGAGTTTATCCCTTTACTCCTTGGATCCAAGTTTTGCTAGAGTTACCCGACCTTAACGATGAAATCCTATTTTAAAATGGACCCGGTTTCCAATTAGAGTCTTAAGATCTTATCTTAGGGCTAGTAGCTCAAAAAGTCGGGAATTAAGTTGACCACACCGATGCATGAGGCTATAACTAGTCTAGTTGCACGCAAATATTCGAGGCCCGTGTACCAATGGGTTTCATGGGTGAGATGAGATTATGAACAGGAATCAAATTGAACTATGGAGAACTAGAACCATTGAAATCGCGCCGGTCTAAAGTTCATTTGCCGTGGCTTCTGGGCACGGTGTATGACCTAGAGCAAGGGGCCAGCAAGGAAGTAAATCATCTGCGAAAACAATCACAGCTAGAGCTGCACACTGACGCTGTGTAGCCTAGGTAGCTTGGTTCTTGTTCGGTTTACTATTGCTTGTTGTACGAGAAGCGCTGTGGTATATAATTGTTTTCTTATGTTGACTCATTAAGTGAGCCACCTAGCGAATAACGCTAGGGTACCTCATGCTTTTAACTGATAATGTCTAGATATCCTGGCAATTTGCCGCAAAAATATTTGGTGGGGATTGTGGCCACTTTTCTTCGTGGTATCTCCGACTGTCGCTGAAGCGGAGCCACCTATTTAAGCATACTATTAAATCTGCCATAAAGAAGATTTTAATAACTCATGTAGATCGTATATTATATAAAATTGTAGGATAATCCAAATTCTTTGAGTGGTTCTTGACTGATGGGTAGAAATTCCGGTATACTTAGATGTGTCTTTTCTGACATGACGAGTTAGAATATTAGCTATATTACCCCCATGTGATAAGTTGACAAGCCTAAAATTTGACATCCGGTAATGAGTGGAAGGTTCTGCAAGTATCGGGCCCACACTGGGAACTCGGCCTTGGATTGACAGAAGATCGCGCATGGCCGAATCATAAATTTCGGTACAAGGCGACGTTACATCTTGACCAAATAATTAGCTTAGTTGAACAGATGTAATCTTATGTGCTGCTGGCCTGATAAATATGCTTAGATGCTACGATGGTAAGGCAGTGTTGCCTGATCTACCTTGTTAAGGCCCGGGGCGTTCTCGCTCCTAATTTAAGTGTCCGCTGGGATTCTCTGCTAGTCTTGTTTTTAAGTGCCACATAGCTTGCGTGTACCTGTCAAAAATGAGAGGTGCATTATCTGTAGCCTAGAAGAAAGTTCGTGAGTTCACAAACTCTGTAAAATTTTCATATCTGGGTCTAGCTTCTTAGCATATCCTAGATCCTTCTAGGTACAACTTTTGAAACCATTACTCTCTTCGTCTCACTGTAGTTTTGCTGTATCACTCTTATTTCAAATAAGATTTTGGTTTGCCGCGGCCCCTCACTGCAGCTGCAAAGCCGCAATTCTAAATATTAACCGAGAATATATGCTACCATATTTTTGAATTGCTTTCAAGAATTTTTTTGGCCGGAGTGTACTTGACAGGGGCCTCAAAAAAGAAATCGTGATAGATGTTAACGCGTAGCAGATTTCTTGATCAGGCCTGAAGCATATGGAGCGACGATTACCACATCCCGAATCAGACATATTCCTTGAGACAGGACGGAAGTTTTAATAGCCTAAATTACTTTTCAATTCGTGCTGCATTTTGTGTGATAATGACGGTTAACGCATCGGGCCTCCCTTTTGCATACTGATACGTAAGACAACGAGGGGAATTTCGATCGCTCTATAAATCTGATGAGTGTTGGATGTGAACGTCATTATCTCTCAAAATGTAGTTGCCATCATAAACTCTACAGGAATTAGAGATAAAGTATCCATGGCAATAACTATGTGAATATTAAATGGCCTGGTTTGCGACTAGGCAGATTTAGATTCAATCAGAACACTACCTGCGTTTTTTCTGTTGGAGTATAGATATTCTTCAGGATATTAAGCCTGTTGAGGCCTGAAAAGATGGAGTAAAAGCCGACTTTCCGAAGAACCAAATACTCAAGTGTGATGGAAACGTGCAGTGCAGGAGACCATGTTTTAGATGTGCACCATTCTTCAACAAGACTGATTAGAAAGTGATATCCACTAATCGTAAATAGTGTAAGGGATGTAATTATCGGTCAGCCTGTGCTGCGGCATATTCAGGGGACCAAATTACCGACAATGTCTCGTATGAGCTCCGATTGGGTACCGGAAAGAATATTTAGAGTTTTTGCCAGCCCCTGTAAACCTCGTCTCTGATTAGTTGACAAGTAACCTTTCATCTAGTCGTCCCAGAACATGTGTTGCTGAGAGAATGACAATAAACAGGTAGATAAAGCATCGTTTGGCTGGCATGTATCTCTGCCTTAATGGCGGTGGACCCTTTGTACTCGCTATGCGGGTACCAGCAGAAGTGGTAAATGAGCTTCTTGCCGAATTACTCGCAGAATAAACACGCGATTGTGCGTTTATTTTTATCGATGGATCATCTGTTTAGGAAACGCCTATTTTCCTCTGAAGTTACTTTGGTAGAGTAAATTAGGGCGCTACTTTTGGGAGCTGTGGAGTGGATAGGGTTGATACATTTCGCCGATGTTTCAGGTTAGGGGGTTAAGCAGTTGCCTACCTTGGAGTTATTGGACACCCACGGCGGTGAAGAGATAGATGAGCGGGTCCATTTCTTAGCCGCTGACAACTCATGTGGAAATACTAAGTGTGCAATTGGATGTTGAGCAGTGCCGGAGTCACTGGTGGGCAGAGGTGGCGAGGGGTGCGAGACGCGGGAGAAGCTCCACAATAACTATGGAATAGATAACAATGGCCCATAGGTAAAGCAATAGACTCAACCTTGCCTCTAGCCAAATTGGATGAAAGGTACCACGTCACACCAAATATGGCGAGATTCCATATTCCGTAAAATTCGTCACTTGAATAATTCTGCTCGTAATGTCCGAAATCTTTTATCGATTAATGTATTCTGATACCCCGGAGTTCAAACACATTCACGTTACCCTATACGGCTCCATCGCTGATTTCCTTGGGGTTTAGATGTGATAAATTATTTGGGATACTGATGAAAACCTAATACCTTGTATAACGCTACCATCAACATTCGAGTGAATCACGACACTAATTTGTGGATGATAAACAATTTAAAAATGAAATCCGTCATATTAGGATTAAAATTAATAAATAAATGCACTCGTGTCAGTATCAACAGATATAATTGTGTATCCTTAACATCCATATTTACCCACTATTTCCAGGCTCTTCTATTAAATTTTTGAGTATTAAAACATCATCCTTAACAGTTTCATTATTAGAATCAGCGATATTGACGTGAATATCTTCACCAAGGTTCGAAGATTCGTCTAGTTCTTCCACTACTGCATCTAAGCCACCGTTTTTCCCAAGCGTCATGACCATACCATGACCAACTAGAGAAGGGGTCGTAGAGGTGGGATGCTTTTCGGTACGCGTTTTTCCGTTTACACAGATAACTTCTAAATCATCATTTGCAAGGACAACTTCGGGAATAAATGCTTGCAAAGGAGCTCGTACAGCCGGGGCTAGGTCAAGTCCATGACAATTTGAAATGGCGCAGAGCGTGTAAGAGTCCAAAAATTTACAAGCACAATTCTTATTTGCGAGAGGACATCCGCTCATGGCGGCGTGTATCTGTGCAGCACATTGTTTCTGTAGAAATTTGGTATTAGTGACCATCAACTCAGCCAAGCTTATCAATAATGATAGATTAGACCCCTGGGATCAAAGTAAACCGAGTAAAAATTTATGTTACTGCACATAGAAGATTATCGGGTGCTAAAGATTCGCAAAACAGATTGATGATTATAAGCTGGCAATAATACGTACAGCACATAATGGTAGATCTCTGACGCTTTCAGAACTTGGATAGCTGTTCACTTGCTTTGAAAACGCTAGGATGAACGATATGTAACAGAGGCGGAGGAGTAATGAGCAATACATTTCTTGATGCTTTGAGGACTATTTTTCATTCCAGATAAACGAGAGGACGATAAGTTGCAGAGATGTAAGGAAACCTGATTGATGCAACCTGTCTTTCTTATGTTCAAAACGGTCTGATGGCTCATGCATATTAAACTTTCAAGGAAATGGCGATCTGAGAGCTCTTGAAATCACTACTGTTACATTCATGCTGCATGGGTTTATTAAAAGAGAGCTTTTAGCAGAATTAAGTAATGCTGTTGTTCTAGGCCAAAAAAGCCTTCATTCTTTATATTCAGACGTAGCTGAGATTTTTGTAACGACGAGCAATGAGAAAATTTTCTAGTGTTCCGGAAGCTTATCTTAAATGTACTATGAAAGACTAAGACGCACTAATTGCAGGCCTGTTCAACAAAAAGTTCCTACCCGATTGGCCGAGCGTTAAAGTGTGATTGATACTACTACCATATATACGTTCCCGTAGATTAGATTAGATTTTTATTACAGTCCCTACTGAGTCTAACACTATGGAGGACTTCGTGAATCCAACTAAAGATTCTAATTACATTTGAGAAATTTAATTTTGAAATGTGCCAAAATTTGATCTTATGGATATTGGTGGTCAAGCCCTTTATGTGTACGTTCCCGTAATTTTCCATATAAACGGCAAACACTCAACACCAAATTGCCCTATTTTCTACGAAAATGGGAGGGAAATATCTTCTCAGAGCCAAGCTCAGTCAAATTTCGCAATACCAAAGAAGTTGGCCCACGGGAAGATAGTTCAAGGCTCTCCATGTTATTCTTTCACTCCCAACGATATTAGTTCCCACAAAAAATCATCAAGTTTAAAAATACGACTTAATACATCTTCATTTCAATGAACACACCACTCGTCAACTTTCTCTGGTCTCAGCTGGCCACCAAATATACGCCCACGCCGATATATATATCCATTGTACGGCACAAATAGTGGCGAATAAGTCTGGGATTCAGTTCTTTTGGATGGACATGAGAGAAATCGGGCAAGTTCCCAAGATGATGATGATGATGATACAGAAGATGGATACAATCTCAACGGTTGTGAGAGTCAGAGATTTGGCAAGGAGATTAACAAATTGGAGAGCATTGTGTGCACCAAGCCATAGATTGCGACAGCGGAACCGACACTATAAAAACAAGCCAACGATGAAAGATGTTGCGGTCCGCTTCTTGGTGATGATTTCCTGTTCAATTTGAGTATCCTCAACACCTAATCCATATGGGGAGGAGTAGCCTGAGATCACATTTCGCTAGGAGGTTAATCAATGGATGATGGAGGAATGTCAGGATAACAGAGTTTATGAGAATTTGAGAATTTTCCCTGGGTAATTATTTACGGATGAGGGCTGACTTGGGGTGAAGAAAAAGCCGGCATAAATTCGTAGTGGTACATGCAAATGAAACGCGAGGCACGAGTGCTCCGATTTTAAATTGAATCATCTATTCATTACTTTATCTCTGGTATTGTGTCGTAGCTAGATAATCACATACGCAATGAAAATCTGACCAAGGGGGATCAGTCCAAATGTTGTAGTTAGAGGCAAGAATGTACTGGAAATGAAGTGTAATCTTATTAGTAACGATTACCTTCATAACATAAGGATTCCCAACGCCATCCCTATTTCCACTATTCATACTCTATTTCGGTATCTTCACTACGATTTGTATGAGTCCGTACTAGCGTGCCTTTATTTCCATGACGAGGGAACACAGCGAGATTATCGCGTTTTGCATTGACATATTGTCTAAATAGCTTAATAACAACTTTTGATTGTCTTGATTAACACTTATTTTACAGAGACAAATGATCAATCCATTCTTCTCTGCTAAGCCTTAAGTGGTACTCTTTCTCCTCAACAGAAAGGTTACAGAATATAGAGAATGGGCGAAATACCAGATAACTCCAAGGCGGATTCAACTGCCATGACAATTTACTACTGTCAATCCAGAGATCTGGAGAGCAGTTAAGTTTTACCAAAGTGGACATTCGGAAAGGTGGAATATGCATGTCTAAAACTTGCCACTCTCTTTTCACCGCAAATAGAAATGGGCCCAAAGCTGCCTAGCAATGCTAATTTAAATCCAGGACATAAGGCTCAGCTCTTATTCATGTTAAAGAAAAGTACGATGAGCCTACAACATAGGCTGGCCATCTAGTTGGCAATCATAGAATCCCAAGCAAATGATGTTGGCCTATCCTCGATAGTCAAATGGCAGCGGATGAATATGGAGATAAGTCAAAGATCGGTACTACGATGCTATAGAAAACTAATCCTGGCGACATCAAAAGCATTGCACAGTTGATCTTAAACCATAGTTGGATAAAGAAATTCTAAATGATATCGGCGATTGAAATTCTGCTGAGGGGAAGTGTGTTGTTGAGGTAAGAGCTCACAGAGGTTTTATTGCCAGAAGATTTAGGGATGATTATGAACAAACCGATGTGAACTGCTGATAATTTGATGTTCAGGACCATGAGAATTTGGCGGGTGTAAAACGCTTCTTATATACATATCTAAGGTAGCTATACTCTCACTTTATTTTCCCAAAATAGTATCATGAAATGTTCTTTTATCCTCCATAAAACCCTTAAAATAAATCAGAATACATTGACCTAAATATATCGAGATACTAATAAAAAGTTATAAGTTAGTCTGGTAGCTTTTAGCAGTCTTTCATGGTCTAAGACTCATTAGACACTATAACTAAAATCTTATATATTTTCCTTCATCCGGTAGTATAATCCAGAAACACTTTCCATATAGTGCTCATTGTTCCTCTACTTATCATGGAGTTACCTAAGAAGTTTTACCTTCACTCTCAGTGATCATTATAGTTGTGCATGGTGATCTTGGCTATCATCAGCACGACAGAACCTTATCGGCTGGGTCCTGGGACTGCCTAGCAAGTCCATATAAGAGTCGATTGGTGAACAAAAATCAGCTCGAGGTGACTTGTCAATTCGAGCAAGGGGGGCCTGCGGCAGCAGCAGCACTACCAGCTAGAGCTATGGTTAAGGAAGCCGAAGAGGCAATCCTCGCCCTAGAGCAGGATGTTTCCATGGCAGAGTTAGTTTCCCTCGAACTTATCCAAGAGGCTTTCTTGCTGGTCAGCAATCAGCTACATATTTCTTCTAATCCTTTAAGAAGCATTTATTTGTTGTTCTTGACGATACAGCTGTTTTGATGAGAAATCTTGACTTTGGGAATTTAGTAGGATTCATGTAGCATACCATGCCACTCATTTTCCACAACAGCCCCACCGACCTTACTCCCCAGCGCCGTCGCTATTTGTGGCATGTTATGCACGTCCAAATTTTTGTCGGGTTTTTTTCCAATGTGTATGCAGCTCTAAAGCCATGATATTTAAATCTAATTATGTTTTCCAAGTTGTATTTAACCTTGAACAGGTACTTTATTCTACAACATTTTATATTCCTTTTACATTTATATGTGCAAATTATGTTTCTCCATTCGAGGGAAACCCGTCTTGGTTTTCTTACACGGAATTTAACTGACTTCCATTTGATTTCGATTTCATTTAACCCAATTTGGTGCCCTGTGTGCCTATGCAGAGGGCTATGAAAATATCTGTATATTTACATGAGGGGGGAACCATTACGATAAAAACCCCCTCCCCCTATTGATTTTTACTTATTTTATAGTCTATAGCCTATAAGTAAAATTGGCCTTAAGTCCGAGACAGAACTAGCTAAAATTAAATTGTACCTCGCTATCCTTCCTCTGCTCTCGCGTGCTGAAAAGAGTTGACTGTGGTCTTGAACTTGACCCGATGGACCAAATACTTGTGGTGGGGGCTTGACCAGGAGCTGTTTGCGCGGGCGTTCTGGCCCTCTCTTGAGTACCTTAGGCTTTTGGTGTGACACCAGTGTAAATCCTTAGTCGTCAGTTGCTTTTGCCGTCGTTGTTGATATAGGTGCCGCGGGTGAAAATTCTTTCCTATATTCTGCCATACGTTCCATCAGATCTTACCGCGCCCGCTGAACGCTGGGCTTGTTAGCCGCAAAGTTTTGACACGCCCCCTTCTGCCACAATTTATGGTCCTTGCCGCAGTTGCAGCAAAGTACTGGCTTCCTCTGGCACTCCCTGGTCTGGTGAGTGTCCGGGCACTCACCACATCTTGTTACCTTGTTGTAAGAGGCTTGGGTATGCCCACATTGACAGCAGTTGAAGCACTGCTTGATTTACGCTCTGAGTGACCAGAGCTGGGCTGTTTATAGCATTGAGTTATTTATAATGCCATTTTTTATCACTTCGCCTTGAAGTCCCTCTATGAGCAAATTCACGAAGATTGACCCTCGAGTAAAGCCATTTCTTCCCATCCATCGATGTTACTTTCCATCGAAAAGCCATCTCATCCTAACGATTCTTAAATTAGGGATCCGGACTTTTGTTTCCGCCATTATTTGGCTTATGAATTCGCCATTTGGATATTTTCCTCCTCATATAAATGTCCCTAGCGGGACTCCTAAAATAGGAACAGGGTAATCCAACTTTAGGACGCTGAACTCTTTTGGCTGCGTCATACTTAGGGCAACTTCTGGCTGGAAGACTGACTGAACAAACGCCTCCGCATCTATTGAAATATTACAGTGTAATTGATGATGCTAAAATGGTATAAATAATGATCCTGATAATATTCGACTGATTTCTTGCTTTTTGCAATCAGTCTTTATGTGTCTGAGTTTTCCACAGTAGTGACACTTTCTAGTTTCCTTCCTTGTTTTAATCGACGGGCTTTCTTCTGCACGGAGTCCAATCTCATCCGGCTTATCTTTTGTTTCGAACTCAACTTGTCTTAATTTTTCCACTTTCTGTTCGAATGAAAAACATCCTGCCGCAGTCCGGATTGTTTCCATAGTTGTCGAAAATTTCTTCGGGAAGTATCTGACTAACGTATCCTTCTTCGACAAATCTGAAGGCTTGTCCTCAATAGATTCACTCCCTACTCGAGCTTGC